ACAGACAAGGGCAAGAGCAAGAACAACTACAAGAGAACCCAACACAACTTTCCAAGCAAGAACTACAACGAAGACTAGAAGGTGACAACTGGACTGGAGAAACCAGACTCAGCAGAAAGATAATACCTACACGCAGAGCGGCATCAAAGACCACACCAACAAGGCAAAGCTCACAACCGCAACGGCTAATGGACACACCACCAACCAGATCAAAGATCCAACTACGAGCGCCGCAAAGATATGGAGACCTAAAGCAGCACCTTCTACAAATCCTGACACCGCACGACCAAAGGAGACAATCCACAGACCACTCACAGCACAGGAGGACGACCAAGACTACTGGGAAAGACAAGGTGAACACTGGATAAGACACCACGCAACACCTAGAACAACTCTCTTCACTCCAACACATGGACCAGGACATCCACCAATCAGCACACTTGAGCCTCACAGAACTACAATCACTCACAACAACTTTGAAGAAGTTTCACAACACAAAGATGACTGGGCAGTCGTGGGCAACGCAGCACTACCATTTCAATGGAAAGGAACAACAAGGTTCACCGTGAAGAAGGACTACGAGCACATCCAGGAGAACCACGATGAGGAACAACAACACGAGCTTCACGAAGCACACAGAGCAAGAGGACTACGACAACCGCAGCAGCCCACTCCACAACAAATAGCAGAACACAATGTTACACATCTACCATACAGAAACTGGTGTCCAATTTTTGTTCAAGGCAAAGGACGCCAAGACAACTACAAGAAACAACAATCACGACAACCCGTCATTCAAGTAGACTTCGCCTACATCAAATCACAACAAGACCCAAAGACCATACCAGTACTGACAGCAGTTGATGTTACTACACAACTGTGAATGGCAGTAATGGTCCCGGACAAACCATCAGTGCGGAAGAACACAAGGCATACTACAAAGCGACAACGAAGACACACTCAACGCATTTCTAAAAGCTACAGCAGCAAAAGTCGGCTCAATGACTGTTAGGCGTGCGCCCTCCTACAGCAGTAAAAGTCAAGGAAGTGTTGAGCGACTGCACCGAACACTCCTCGGACAGGCGCGTCGTCAAAGCGCAGGTTGAAAGCAACTACAGCATGACGATGTCCACAAAGCACTGTCTACTACCTTGGATAGAACGACATGCAGCATGGACGGTAAATCGCAACGTCATCCACTCAGACGGCTACACAAGCTTTGAACGCCGCTGGGGAAGAAAGTACGAGCGAGCAATCTGCGAATTTGGCGAGACACTACTTTACCTTCCACCGCAACACAAGAAACTTCCAAAAGCAGACCTACGGATGCAGAAATGCATCTGGCTCGGAAAAGTTTCCGAACCCGGAGATTACTACGTCGCAACGGAATCAGGCGTACTAAAGGTACGCACAGTACGGAGACTACAACCGGACTTCAAATACGAGCTCGCACTGTTGAGCAAAGTTTCCGGCGCACCGTCGGAACACCTACAACCCGTCGTTCGCAACACTGTTGGATACGCAACTACAACTGTCAGAGAAAAGAAGGTCCACGCAAGATTTCGGACAACAGACGAACGCGACGGACGACATCGTTGCGGAACCCCCAACAAAACAACAGCGCGCCGCACCACCTCCACGACTTCCGTCTACATCGACGTCAAGTTCACGAACACTACCGGATAGTCCTATGGCTACTTCACCAACCGGACGACAACATCCACCACTACCAGCACCACCTCGACAAACACTAAGACGTTTAACTCCGGAAGAAGTAATGCAACCAACCAAAGCACAGAAGACCTCAAAGGACACTACACTCAGATCAACGGAGCAAGCAACCAAAGAACCACAACCACTACGACAGAAAACCAACGCAGTGACACTTCCCAACGGAACATGCATCACTCCCTACACAAACGACGACACCGCAGAAGACCAACCCATAATCTTCGACAACGAAGGTCAAACCAAATGAAACTACACGACGTCTACGACGAAGTAAAGTAGATGCGTCTACCGTCGATGACAACATCCTAAAAGAAGCGATACCTACAAGATGGGTACACAGAAAGAATTGACCAGGAGTACGAAGCCGAATCGTCGCAAAAGGCTACACGGAGAAGATCAAGGACGAAGACTCCGTCTACGCCTCTACACCAATGTTCACGACACTCCGGACACTTCTCGCGCTACAAATGTCACGACCCAACTGGATCGCGCGACTGGGTGGCGTCTCTACAGCGTTTCTACACGCACCCGTCGCAAAAGACCACGACGGTAAACAACGTGACGTCTACCTTTGGCCACCTAAAGAACTTTGTCCACAACAAGACAAACTCTGGCGACTAAAGATAGCCATGTATGGACTACGCAGTTCACCAAAAGCATGGCAGGACTACCTGGCTGAAGTGTTACAAAAGCTCAGCTTTGTAAGACTAAGGTCAGAACCTAACGTCTACACTAATGCGACTCGCGACTGCTACATCATGGTCTACGTGGACGATCTACTGGTACTTGGAGACAAGACTGCGGTCGACTCCACGTTCAAGGCCGTCCATAAGCAGGTCCTACTCAAGCGCATCGGCTACCTCGAACCTGGCAAACCACAATAATTTCTTGGAAGACACATCGACCA